GTACGTGCGCGTGCGTGCGCGTACGCGCGGACATTGCATCTCCTCCACGCACCCCTCGCAATCCCCAATCTCCTTCTTCTCCTCTCTTCTCCTCCTTCTCTCCCTCTTCCTTTTACGCAGCCATCCATCTCTTGCCGCGAGCCCAACTCGTTACACGCACTTGCGCACATATCCATTACGCATTACCGTAGCCATGTTGTGTAGGGATGTCTTAAACGAGTAAGCTACGATTTCTCATGTTACATGTTATGCGAAAAAAAATGCAAAAAAAAATAGAAGAACGCGAGCGGAGAAAGGAATTTTTTGCGAAACGACGAACAATTTCTTCCGGTCAGTTGCAGGATCGTTTGAAGTTTGAGGTAAACACTGAAATACGCGCGGGTGTCTAAACAAGCAAACGGGACAACGAGAGGGGTGATATAATAAATAACAAGAACAAAAAAAAACGCGCGAATTCTGCATACTTGACGCTATGTGCGATCAAGTCGAATTTTACTCGCCGATTGCGACGCTTCCTCACGATATTTTTCGCGATTCAATTTGATTTTCCTTTTTTTCTTTTTTTCCCGCGAGAAGAACCACTGCAGTGACGGAACGACTCTTATTGTAAATCGTTGATATTCGAATTGTTACGAATTGATAAAAGAATCCGTATACCAATTTTGACAATGAAAGTACGAGAGGGAAAAAATATCCGTTTAACGCATCGTGGACAAGTAAAGTTTTTAAGTTGATAATTGTGAGACAATTGCGTGTCTCAAAAAATTGGATTTAATCAACAAAATAATTAATTTCGTATACAATAATTATCTTTTTGAATTTTTGAGTTTGTAAGGTATTGTAAGATACTTGAACATTTTTACAACAATATAATAACAACTGTGGCAAGTTTATCCAAATCTTTTTGGATAAACTTAAGTGTGTCCACTTAACAATTATTTTATGCTTTGTATTGGTTGTATAAATAATTTTATGAGTGAAATTTTATAACGGTTACAAAGTATAAAGTTTATATTAATGTGAAATATTGTACATAATAAACGTTATCTTGTTCCTCAATGTGTTAAAACGGCAATGTCGAAGTGACGTCTGTTTAAAACTTGTTCCATTTTGCTTGTAATGAGCTATTCGCAAGTAATGCTCTTTAGCAATGTACGGCGTACAGCTTGTCGCGGATTCGCACCACTCTTTGCATGCTAACCGCTCATTCCTTCACTTTTGCCATTTGGCAACGCGTTCCTACGGAATCTTGCGGTAGAACAGAATTTCACTTACTTACATACCGCTTTCCAAAAGAGTACCGCGTGTCTTCTTGGCGCGCGGCTCCTTTTAAGCGCCGTGACAGTAAGTAGCCTCGAATGGCGAGTACTTCTTGCATGATTAAATCCGATTCTCACGGAGGCGCGCCTTCGTTTATATCACACTTTACCTGGATTTAATGTCACATCGTGCAATAAAAAAGTACGTGAAAAGCGATTGAGGAAAAAAAAACTGCGTTATACGATAACTCGAGAGATATAAAACATATAGGCATTTATTTAGAATACTTGTCGAGAGAAGAGTTTTCACTATGTATTAATTGCGTAAACTTAAATAGCCAGTTACCGATTGTTAAAAGAGACGAGCAACGTTGCGGTAGCGATGTAACTTAAAATCATACAAACGATTCTTCAAAGTTCCGAAAAAAAGAAGATCTCGCTTCAAGCGCCGAATATAGCCGGCGTGTTTTGACTCTTCAAAACGTCACTTTGATTCGCGAGTATTTGTTGATACACAGTCGACAATAATCAAGTAACAAGTTTACATTCTATCTACTCCATATTAATTATTAAATAAACTCAACAAAAGCAAAGATTAAAATGTTAATGAACGATCGAGCTCTATACTTGTATCTCGCTCGAATTTATTATAGACATATCGCGATTACACACTTGCGGCATAGATTTCCTGTTCCCGCAATAATCTTTACGGAAGCAAAGTATAAGTTTCTACGTTATAGCTTGTTCTTCAGTTTTAACGCGATAATTCGAACACATCGATATGAGATACGCTTAGATTCGGTAATTAGATTCGATAATTCGGCAGTATTTACGTTAAGACGGAATAATATTTTATGAAGCCCTCTTAAGAGAGAAATGAATTGATCATCCGAGAGTTAAAGCTGTCGATATTCTATAAAGTCAGTGCGATTACCGCTCTCTCTCTCACCCGACTTTGTTGGCAAATTTCTCTTTTACTCTGTTCAAATTATTCTTATCGCTGTTGTTGTTGTTGTTGCTATTATTATGGTTACACAAATAAAAAAAATGACTTCAGAGTTATGAGGATTAAAGTACTAATTACTAAACATTTGAGGATTAAAGTACTTACTACTTCTCAGCTGTTTGAAAGCAAGTGAGCGTTATGCGATGACGTTCTAATTAAGAGAGATGTATATGAAGCCGTCGGGAGAACGTTGATTCTTTTAATTACATCTCGACATACTCTCGTATCTATAGTTATTTATCTAATTACAATTTGCAAATTAGATCGCAGGGATACGTAAAAATATCGCAATGGACTCACATCAAGCGCTCTATTTTCTCCACACGCGTGCCATGTTATGGACTGGTATCATTATGCTACCATCGTGGTTACGTTATTATCGATACGCGTATCCACCACTGCGTACAGCAGCACGTTAATTACTCGATTGGTAATTAAAGGTTCGATCTCAAGCAGAATAACAAGTCACGATAAATGGCGTTAAAATGAATCGTAAATGATTGAAAAGCGATTTTTAGTAATTATTTTGGAATTATTTTCAAGTCACACTTTAATGTCATGACTTGTGTCCTGCTTGAGATAGTATCGGACGATGCTCTGCGAATCGATGGTGTGAACAAATCGGAGCATCTTTTCGAAGAGCCCCGAAGATCTCACACGTGTCTTGTTATGCAAGAATGAGAGAGAGGAATAAGAGCGCTCCCTTCCATCACCATTGTACATACATATGATATATTAATGCATATTATATTGTCATATATAGGACACGCGAGAGCGGGCAAGAGATACGGATATATGTTATTGTTATTAACGAAATTAAGCGCGATAAGTGAGAAGTATGTATCTCGTTGCGTTTCAAATGCCTGCGGGACAGGATCGTTAAAACGACGAATATTGTCGACAGTTTCATTTTTCTTCGAGCAACTTCCATCGCTCCCTTTACCGATTACTTGATTGTCCGGGATGTAAACTGTTTCCTAGAAGGTGGATTCTTTTTACTTCTCCGTTCCATTTTATTTTAAGTTCCGTGCACCGACAGCGAAATTTTATCTTTAAGTCTGTCTCTCGTTTAGGGAATCGGACATGACACCCCGAGACAGCGGCGTTCATCATTCAGTCACGGTCGCCCCGCCGTGTTCAATAAATATGAATATACAGCACAAAATCGATCGCTACGCGACGATCCACGCGAGGCAGCTCCAACTCTTGAGCGGTATCTCTCCGATTATCGAGGAGATATTTCCAACGTTCCGTACGCAAAGACATGTATGTATGTAGATGTATACGCGAGAAACATCGCGGACGGCGATGATGTTGCATACGCATTTAAAACTCTTCTTATAGCATTTATTACTTAGTAGATAAGACTAGAGCGACATAGGAAAAAAGCACGAGCGTATTATGTGTCTTAACTGAGATGTAAATTTTTATAAAGTTTCAAAACGATAACGGCAGAGGTTGTAGGCCGCAGCTGTAAAAATAAAATCCCCGATTCAGAAGAGCGATACGACTTAACAGTTAGCCGCTGCCTCGAGTCTCGGAAGGGACAAGTATCTTTGTGACAAGAACAGATTAGTATGCGACCGTCGAGCGTAACAAGAGCTGGCCGTGATCGCCAGGACAACGATGATCGAGGACGAGAGAGGGTGAGCATGCGAGCAGTCTTCCTTACAGAAAATCAATGTAATACTGGCCAATTTAATAATGAAAATTACTTATTTTGAATATTAAAAACATTAAAAGACAACAGCTTTTATTACTCAAAATAAGTAAATAATCACTACTTTCCAGTATTAAATTTCTGTAAGGGATCTCAGATGTACGCGGCTGATGGACGGATATCTCTCCTGACCGCATTGTCTCTTTCTCTCTCGCTTTACTTTCGATTAGCGGAGTCCTCGCGAGACAGGCACAGTAGCGAAATAATGCGGGACATACGACCGCTGGTTTGTCGATTATTATCGCAGATATAACGCATTATTCCGTACCAAGTACGGCTAGAGCTATCTCGAATAATTTATCATAGGATTAGAAGGAAGAAAAAGAACAAAAAAAAATAAAGAGTCAACTGTAACGCGAGTAACGGAGCACGAACGAAGAAAGGCCTGCATCGACGACCATCTGACACCCTTCACACTTGCCGACCCACACCCTCGTCCTCCCATCCCATTCCGATCTTATATTTCCTCCCTTTCCTTCCGCGAGCACATACCCCGCCCTATATCCTCAAGAACAAAACAAACCAACATATTGTAATCTATTGTAGATTGTTGTAGATAAATTATACGGTTTGACCGTACATTGTTACTTTTTGTCGACAATATAAAATACACAGATATATAAGTAATTACCATCGCTACGTCTTCTCGTTATTTCATTATACCTAATGTGATCAGATTTTCAAATCCAAAGCGGAACCAATTTATGTTAGATGGATGAGAAAGAATGTATAAATGTAAAAATAAAACAATAGCAATATATTTAAAAAATAATATAATAATATAGTTCTTTTTCTTTTTCTCTCTTTCATATTTTGACATATTTGGTAGGATATTGAAACAATCATCTCGAAAGCAGGACTATTCCGCTCTAAGTGAAATGTCTGATCACATTAATTATACCATCCGTATGTCAGTAAAGTGAAGCATGTCATTTGTTTTTTAAAATTTTTATTCCAATATAAAATAAAAATTCGTAATATAACGCATCGTAATATAATGCATAATAGATGTTGCATAGTCAATAACTTTCAGTATGAAAATCGGCATAACGATTATTAAAAGAACAATATATATAGAGCATATTTGATTAATCTCTACTTTACATACAGATTATTTTAAATTAATGAGTAATACTGGGCGTACTGGGCGATCCTACCACATCAATAATCTCCTGTTTGACTTCCGGTTCTGTCTTTGGTAGGAGCGCTGGTGGTATTGTTAAAGTCTGAAATGAAAGATATAAAATGAATATAACAATCGATATTACATAAAATTCCATTTGAAGAGATTTGCATTGAGAATCACCTTTCCTGGTACTAGCGCTTCGTATTGGTGCCTTAAAGATTGTAATTCATAATCGCATGTTGATAATGCACTTCTCAATTCATAATGCAAAACTATATCGCTGCGCAGTTCATTAAATTGCTGACATATTTGCTCCGTCGGTGGTGGATTTAATTCTACAACGTAAACAGTTTCCATCTTAATTTTGAATTACAAAATTTTACAAGTACGGTATGAAAAGATTGAATTATATCCTCATACCTAAACGCAACTCATTTAGCATTTGTTCAATGCCCTTCATTTTCTTTTGACCGAGACTACTTGGTAATTTGATTCTCTGAGAACGAAGAGTAACGCCGCTATTCTTAAAATCGGGAAATTTAATTCCAGCTGACTCTACTGCCTGTGTAAGTAAAACAATGTAAATTTCTTGATATAAAAGTACCATAGCATATATGAATATAATTTTACAACATACATGAGAAGTATCGGTTTTATTCGGTCTATTCCTAGATGAGCTGCTATTCTTTTTGGAAGATTTTCTTTCACTCTTCCTGGGATCTGCTTGATGATCAGCTGCTGTAATTAATTTCTGCAAATCTTGTGTCTTTCTATCTCTCTCTTTTTTTCTTTGCTCAATTTTGCGTAATTCAGCCAGTAAAGTTTGTTCTTCCTCTACTTGTTCAGGAGTACGTTCAAACAATTTTTTCAGCTGTTCCTTTCTGCGTTTCTCGTGTTCAGCATCAAAGATGTATACCTTGTCAGTATGAGATTTTGCCTTTATTAATGCAGCACATACCTGATAGTACCTGTGGATTGATTTAAAATGACAAACGTATTCCAGAAAGTATATCCAAACCAATAAATTATAAATACATGTATATCTCATCCTTACCTTTCTTTTAAGTCTTCTACGGATCTAGCAGGGAACTTGGCGCGATCCCATCTATCTCTGATGATAATAAACCTAAGATCAAATCTTCTGCACAAATCAAACAGATGATCAGTCTCTGCTCGTGTCCAGCCGTTGGCCACTAAATGTTGTACATATTCAGTATTTGTGTATGTAGGGATAGGAACTTTTTTATTGAACTTTGCAAAGGGATACTCTTTTCCAGCATCAGCAACACGACGCCAGTGATGAAAAATCGCGCCGTCTGTACGTGCTGGATTGGTAAATGGTGCCCATTTCCATGGTCTGACTTTCTTCATACCAAGCTTGGCTCTCACCTGCTTGTATCCTTTCGCGGTGTCGGTTGGGAACAAAGGCGGTACGTCGTTGTTGTCCTTACAAAGGAGAGCAAACACCTCACGGTGCATGCCTTCAGGACGCTTTGGCATTTTATTATAGTCATATCGCTTCCGATTCTTTTTGTCGCTGCCCAATATTGACTCTTTCGTAAGTTCCGTAGTCGTCGGTACCTCAATATCCAGAATATCGCGTACGTCTGCCATCGTGAAGGCTACTATTTTTTCGTGAAGATATTTTTTTGAGTAATTTCACCGGTTGATGGATAATAATTGCTTTCAACCTTACCTTGAAATTATATGGCGAAATGAAGAATACGAAAAAACTTTATGCGTTTTGAGGTTAAGTTTCTATTTTAAGGTTAACTTGCTTATTGTCAGTAAACTACTTTACTAAGTACACATTACTTATCGATTGCTTAAAATAAGGAAATTAAAGAGGAAAGAAAAATTATTATACAAAAGCTACAAATTGCACTTAATTGTGAAAATATACACAACACTGTTACGTGGAAAAACACCTACATTCATCTGCAATAAATAAGATCAACTGAAGTGAAAAACATGTGGGCAAAAGGTACACTAGCGCACCAATGTTCATTTCGTGTGAAAACGCGATAAATTCATCAAAATCAAGTTATCTACTACCGATAAAGTGAATGGCATATTTGCCGACTATCAATAATCGCACTAATTTCTTCTCACAATAAAACTCAATTGCAATTCCAAAAACTTTATTTATTATAAATTATCTAATGTTACTTATAGTAATATAAACAAATTAACATGCAACTATTATGCCACAAAGACCCACATTTCCAGTAAACAAGCTGACATTATTTATAGCCATTTTAACATCAGCTTGTTTGTTGAATTCATGTCATAGGTATAATTGTAATTTATTATGTTAGGCGTTTATGAATGCTTATATAACAATAAGTATATTTACATATAGATACAATAGAAACTTTTTAGAGAACAATATCTGGAAACACGGTAGTGTCTCGGCGCTAAGCCAAGCGCAGCGACACTGCCGTGCCTCCTTTACGCGAATCGACAAGTTGCAGCAGACTGAGTGTCTAAAACGCGGATATAAGACGTCCAAGACTATATTCAGATTCCTATCAGAGTGCCACCCGGGTATTTTGTCCTTGTTGTTCATCGAATGTTAAACAAGACTAACATGATACTCGGAAAGCACTCGAATAGGAATCAAAATGCGCTTCTGGAGGTTGATTGTGTATCTTGAGATGAAAATTCCAAAAGTGAGCAAATTTATTACGTGTGTTGACCAATAAAATTATAAATATTTTAGTGAATTCTCATTTTTGTAATTTTCACCTCATTTCAAGACACACAATAGACACTCTGAAGACATCATAAAGATGTTCTCATGTCACGTCTCATAAAATGTCCTTACCTCCTTTTTGAATATACATGTCATCTGGAAATTCAGACAACATGCACGTCTAAAAGACACTATAAAGACGTTTCTTGGGACATACATATGTCTAAAAGATATATCTAAAGGTGATCCTACACGGTCAATAATACTGTCAGTACTAACAAATACTGACAATATCACTGATCGTGTGTGGTTGATATTGATGGATTGACATAAAATACTGACGATGATATGGATTTTAATTTTCGAACATTAATATCGCTTTATTAGGATCCATGTCACAGTATGTCACAGTATAATAGATAATGTACGTAAAACAAAATTGAAATATATTGTCAATAATACTGATCGTGTAAGGTTGTAAAAATACTATAAATATTAATGCATACTGTCAGTATTACTGATGTAATATTACTGATCAATATTAATGACCGTGTAGGGTCACCTTAAAAGATGTCATAAAGATGTTGACTTCTTCACATTGATTTTGTCTGAATTGTATTGTTAAATGTATATGTCAACTTATTTAAACATTTCCACTCATACCATAAATATTACCTCATTGTACGATGAATTTCATAGATTTACATTATGAATATTATCTCATAAGAAAAATACATAAAATACTTAATATACAAATTTTTATTGAGGTCGCATGATATCAATACTTTGAGGAGCTGTAACGTCAAGTAAATTTATAGTATTAGGCGACCGATAATTTGTGGAATGTGATGGAACAGATCCATGATTATCTGATTTCTTTTCTAAACTAAAAAATTTGCAGCTTACAATGTACCAGAAGCTTTGTACTACGTTTTTAATCAAGCCTGCAAATTTACATAATTCAATAATTTTTTGTATTATTATATATTCTTATTGAAAAATTCATTGTTTGCCAGTACTTACCACTTGTAACGAAAATACCACCCACAGTGGCACATAATTTCACTAAAAACTGAAAAATTGTATCACGTTCCTGTGTCACTTTGATCTTGAGTGCACTCATATCATATTTGAAGAAAATTCCAGGTATTCCATGAGATCCTTTATGATGATCAATTGGCCTCTGATGATCTTTGACACTATATTGGTATGTCTTAGACGTTGTTAATAACGTCCTAATATCTGTAGGGACAACTTCAACAAAATATTGATAAAGCATCATATCTGAAAGAAAAATTATCTATTAAATGTGAAATAATATCACGCTAGCTTGTTTCTAACATCTTGCAAGATAAAACAAACTTACTGTTATCTGCGATCTTCTCATCACCTTCAAGAGGATGCACAATTCCCGGACTAGGTCCACCAAAGGAAAATCTATTGATTCTGTGAGTAAAATTATAATCTCGATCTGTCATAAATGCAGAAATATGTATATGACCATGTGGCACAGACAATGATTTTCCCGCAGTTATATGAAAATTACCCGCCACTTTATTAACATTCAGACTACCATGAACACGGCAGGCATTTGGTGCGTAATCTGGTACATATGATCTAAATGGCATAAAATGGTTGTAGTCACAAACTGTAATATATCTACAATTTTCAACACATATAGAATCACAAATAATTAGGTTAGTTCTCACATACCGCTTTGGCATTTCACTGTGAAGAGTAACCTGATTGGACTTCCAAAGTAATTCATGAATAGCATGATATTCTTCCCTTAAATAAGAATTCATATGCTTCAAAGCTTCAAAATGTGTCCTTTGTTCTTGCGTTAATTCCCACCATGTATCCTCTTCAGTCAAAGAATCAAAATCTATCATATGTTGATTCGTAGAATCTAAAACATCAGCACCGATGCGACCACAAGGCATTGCCACTGTTACATCAATATTGATTTGGAGTTTTGCATCAATGTCAGTATCTGGCTCAAATGTGAATTGTAATCTACTATCAAGATAATAGCTTGTTTCAGCTATTACCAGATACATGATAATAAGAACTGTAAAAATGGAAACTGAAACAGAACCAGATTAAATCGATCAAAATGAGCAGAGCATAATTAAGTACAACATATATATGCATTAAATAACATATAAGTATATTAAACAATATGTAAATATGTACATTTTTAACATAAGGAATTTATTAACTCACATGTTCCTCCAACTGCAGTTTTGTCAACATATACCTCAGGAACTTTCGGAAATGCATCCAGTTCCTTAACTGTCTTAACATTAACGTGTCGTCGCCTCAACATTTTTACAACTTGCAAATATATTCACAAATTATTTAATATTACAACTAACCTATAACAAGTATTTACTATGCTTAGAAAAAATCCAGAGCTAGGTACAAGTTCGATGTTTACCTTTAGCACTGTGTTTATCACCATATTCACTACTCTCTAAATTTTAGTTAAATAAAAGAAGGCAGTATTTTGTACATTTTTTCTTGACACGTGGATATTATCGTATGTAATTTTGACATGTCTACACAAGAAATATGAAACATCCGAGACTAGCCGATAATGTGCGAAAGTCACTACAAAAATATTACAGCAGCGATTTTGCATATAGAAAGATGGCGCCACAATATACTTACATCGTGACTTCAATATATTATTCAGCTATAAATGCTAATGTATATATTAAAAATTTTATTTAATACATACATACGGTGTTTCGGAAATTCGAATAGAGAATATTATGAGACCTACGTTTGAACTGTCTAAATATTCATCTGATCTAAATAATTGTCAATATATATATTTTTTCCAAGATAATTAGACGAAATTGCCACAAATTCATAAATTCCAACATTTTTTAAACGAGTTCTCATAGTTAATATCAAATTCTATATTTAATCACAAAAATTCATAAAAGATGAATAAAGATCCACAAAAATTCATAAAGGATTCATAAAGATTCACAAAATTAAACAGCATAAGAATTCTAACAGAATTACGAATGTTTTTCAACGTACACTGAAGAAATTGGTAATCCTAACTGTTTTTATAATAGATCTTAGTGTTTTTATTATATAGGAATTTTCGTTCCAATAACAGTTTATGATTGCAATAATTTCAAAATTTTATTATTTCTTGCGACATAAATAATTTAAAATTCAAGAATAGAAACTACAGAAACAAATATTTTGTTATAAATTTTATATTGTAAATTTGTATTGCAAAAATATTCGAACCGGAAGAAAACCAAACGTATAAATAAATTTGTGGCCCTGACAAGGGCCGTTGATCTTGAGAGGAATAATTCACTTGGAGCTAGTGTACTTGGTGACAGCTTTGGTGCCTTCACTCACGGCGTGTTTCGCCAATTCTCCGGGCAACAACAGCCTGACAGCAGTTTGAATCTCCCGAGAGGTAATCGTCGAGCGTTTGTTGTAATGAGCCAAACGCGATGCCTCAGCAGCGATACGCTCAAAGACATCGTTGACAAAACTATTCATTATACTCATGGCTTTGCTGGAGATTCCAGTGTCCGGATGAACCTGCTTCAGTACTTTATAGATGTAAATAGCATAGCTTTCCTTCCTCTTCCTCTTTTTCTTCTTATCAGTTTTACTGATGTTCTTCTGAGCCTTTCCAGCTTTCTTCACCGCTTTACCGCTCGCTTTCGGTGGCATGATTCAAGTTTTCGTATAGCGCCGTGTGAGCAATCGCTGAGACGGAACTTCGAAAAGTGGCGGTCCAGGGGCAGTGCTGTTCTATATATACAGTAAAACGACAGTGGTGGCGCACCAATCGCGTGACGCGACACAACCAGTCGTCACGCGCTCGACACCCGATTGGTCGCGCGTAGCCATCGCAACATGGTATAAATACTCGCCGTGAACCGATCGGAGCAACATTACGAGTGGAAACGTTGTACGCTGTGTAACCTCTCGTTCTTCGCTAACTGCAATCATGTCTGGCCGTGGCAAAGGTGGAAAAGCTAAGGGAAAGGCAAAGTCTCGCTCCAGCCGTGCTGGACTCCAGTTCCCCGTTGGTCGTATTCACAGACTTCTGCGAAAAGGAAATTATGCTGAGCGCGTCGGTGCCGGTGCTCCGGTCTATCTAGCCGCAGTGATGGAATACCTTGCTGCTGAAGTGCTGGAATTGGCGGGAAACGCCGCTCGCGACAACAAGAAGACCAGAATCATTCCTAGGCATCTACAGCTGGCCATTCGCAATGACGAGGAATTGAACAAGTTGCTCTCTGGCGTTACCATTGCCCAGGGTGGCGTACTGCCGAACATTCAAGCAGTCTTGCTGCCAAAGAAAACCGAGAAAAAAGCTTAACTGCAGCAATTACAAACGGCCCTTTTTAGGGCCATCAATTTCTTCATGTACGAAGAATATCTCATTTGCAATTCTATAATCTATTATCCTTATTTAATTCTCATCAATCTCGAATTAGTTAATATAAAAATTTATATTAAAAATATATATTCTTATAATATCCTTTATAATCGTTTAATTTTCTATTACATTAATATAAGTTATATAAAATGCACGTAATTCTAAAACGCACAAAATACAGTTCCTCCAAAATGAATGATATATACCTAATCGAATTTTAAAATTGAACAATAAAAATACCGAATACATTTTAAATTATACTGAATTCCGAATTATACACACGCTTTTTATAATTATAAAGGTGATCTACATTGTAAAAACAAGAAATCAATTCAGTAATAAAATATTTTATTTACAAACGTAGATTTATGTAATACTACATAAAATTATCAATCCCTTGATGCACAATAAATGTTAAATATGTAATGCTAGTTGGAAGTATTCAATGACTATAAAAAATATATTTACTATCATTATACGCATATATGAATTCTATAACCGCGTTCTTCGTAAACGATGTACAACGTGAAGTCACAGCCTATTTCCAATGGATTTCCTCCATTTCTTTCCTTATCTCCCCACCGACTATCTTGATATATATTTAATACAATATTTTCTTTAAGTTTTAGATTAAGATGCGAAGCATTATCGTGACTATCACAACTTTTTTTTACGAATGTTATACAGGATGACCAGTGGGAATGAATTGAAACTAAATGGTTATTACTTCGCAACAAGTAAGCCAAACGAAATGAATCAAATGTCATTTTATAAAGAAAACTTGTCAATTTTATATGTAATTATTTAACAATTAGAACATTACAAAGAAAAGAGGGTAAAAATATGCTTGCATGTACGCACAATATCCATCTTACATCAAATTTTTGGAAAAGAAGAAAACTTTTGATACCTTGAGAACTAACCAAGCTATAACACATGATGCAGAGATATTTGTTTCACGTGCATCCGGGATAAAACTTAAATCTTCTAAAAGAATTCCTGATCTGAGTTCGTCGATTCATTTTCCTGCAATCCCAGGTGCTTCGCCTGAACATATACAGGATTGAACATATACGTGGATTGATCCACTAACAGCGGGATTTACGTTCATATGTGGAAGTGCTAGATAGTAATGATAATAATATTAGAAATTCTTCATTGGCCGGAGATATGATGAATATAAATAGTCTTACTTATGAAATCCATAGATCAAAACAATTTGTTAATATACCAAAAATGATAGATGTAATAAAGAAATTAAATAATAAGCTTGCGACTTGTAGAAATGGCATGGAAAAACTTCAAACGTTTATAAAGGCGGCCGATTTATTAAATTGATGTGGCTAAATTATCTACATTAAAAATTTGCTTGTGGAACGCGACAAGTATTAACAACAAGGATTTTGAATTTAATTATTTTATTGTAAATAACGAAATAGATATAGCTCTTGTAACAGAAACTTGGCTCACCCCCAATACTAAACTAAATATATCTTAAATATAAGATTTTATTATATTTTTTTAATATGCGCCTGCTCCATTCTTTTGTATGCAGCTAGCTCCTGTTTGGGCTGCTGCTTCTCAAACGCATTTGAATCGCCTCCAGAAAGTGCAAAATCATTTCCTTTGTGTTATATTTGCTAAGTCTCGGTATACACTGATTACTAATTTACACACCGAATCTGGTGTGGAATATAGTGACGCTGTTATTACCAGAATGATCTTCCGTGCGTATGATATCCAACATCCACTTTTTCGACAAGTCGGGAATTACTGCTTGGATGATCTACCATTCCGTATAAGATGTTGATTGCCAAAATCACTTACTCTGTTGCCTGTTTGACTGCTGTTCATTTCAGCCCTGTTTTGTGAGGCATTGTGTGTTGCTCCTATGTTTTGTGCCTTTTGAGATACATTCATCTCCAGGATTGGGTAATAATTTGTATAAACTGCCATTTCTAATTTCACATCGCCATTTTTCACCAAGATGATCTATAACAAAATGTCAAGTAAAAAATGTTTCAAATCATCATATAAAACTGTATATCTTATCAATATTTTTTATTTACTTTTCAATTACTTTTCACTATCGACGGATCTAATGACATTTTCTTTAATCTCGCTTTTAATTTATCTCAAATGTGTTTATTCTCCATAGTTCTCTAATTTTCACTTGTGTTGAACAATGTCATCAATAATCCTACCCAATCAAAAACATTACAAATTTATAGTTTTGGCACAATTCTAAATTCTTAAAAAAATTTCTGTGTTAATTATCTTATACATAACTAAGACTATACAATTAAGATATAGATAATATAACATAAATAGATAAAAATTTGACATTTTACTATTTAGGTAGATTGTAGGTTAAATCGACAAAGCATGCCTCAGCTTGCACTTTATATCAACACATTACATTCGACTCAATTATTACCTCAATTATTGAATTTTCATCTTATATCCATATATTTCAGTTTCCAATTAAATTTGGGTCAAATACACTTCCATCTATTCAAAATGTGCTTCAACATCATGGAACCGACAGTATGAATAGGACTCCAAGGAGCAAGATTAATCTATTAAGATAGATAATTCGTCATAAAGAAACTTTTTTATGCCTTATGTGTATCAATCAGTATACTTTTATCTCAATGATAAAAATCTTTTTACCTTGATAGTACTGCCCATTCCTTTTCCCAAGATAATTATCAAGTTTCCACTTTTTGCTAAAAATTTATTAGATAAGTATAGCTATACTAGCAACACTCGCTTCATTTAAATCACTTGTGTTTACAGAATTTATAGATCTGTAGAACAATTACACTTTCAAAGTTATTATCATGTACTGTTTAGTTAATATCATTTTTACCTTTTTCTCTTCATTTTGATATCTTGAAAAGACGATTGTTGAATATTCTTTGCAGACACGCCGTCACTAATATGTTATCACAATTTTAAAGACATAGATGCCAAACGTGATTGCTCTTCCTATTCTCTTAATTAGTATTGTACCTTCATCAGTACTATAAGGTTCTATGTATAAAGACAAAAGACGCACTTAAAATTCAATATTATAATAATTGTTATATCATTATACAACAATATTACAAATCCATCAAACTTTATTTTATTATGCAAGTAAGAGTATTGAGTGATTAATTAGATGTCAAATGATGAACGGCATTAATATTCCTACCAAGAAATTCCAGTTCTGATGATGTTGCTGTTGCGGTGCCAAGTACTGTGTCTGTTACTAGATGACGAACTAGCATTGTTACTTGCTCTACTTAATTGTAGCGGTGCATCTATTAATTTCCATCGTTTCCCCGTCAATTCAGAACGAACGATATCAGTATCCGTACGGTAATACAAACATCGATCGTCATAGCCAATAGCCCATGCCTTCATAATATAAAAATAAAGTGAGTTAGCTATTTAAAGTGTATATATCTGATACAATTTTCTATTTTCTTTGCAATATAAGTTAAGAATTAATTAACATCGTTACTTGATCATTTGGAACAGTGAGTAATGCCATTTTGTTTAACATTTCAATCCATTGGCTAATTGTTCACAAACACCGATTTTTATCTTAAATGCTCTGTCGAAACCATACTTCGTCATCGTGCGTTATAACCCAGTATTAGCACCGATACTGATTTGTATCAATCTGAAGTCTTTCTATGGTAATGCCACTTTCAACTAATTTTCACCTTTAATTCGTACGATTTTATCAAAGTACTCAAATATTTTAATGCTTTGTCTACCATAAGTACAGCCTAAACAAGACTGGTTGCTCCAACACTAATTTGATATTTAGTAGCTATTTGCCAACTTGATAGAGCTCCATCTTTGTTGTTCAGAACAAGTTGTACTTGTTTCAACAGTAAGTGTCCTAAATAAGTTGACACAACCGATAATCTAATTTTTTTAAATATTTAAATATTATTAAGTCTTTGGGAAAGCTGTAATAAAAAAGTTATATCCTTTCATGAGCTATTATCGACCAGGTTACTAAATTACAAAGTTACAGAATAGACATACTGATAATTGTGAACTATTCTGTACGTAGTTACCGACAGTTGTCGGTATCGTTAACTAGCGACAGTCAATGAAAGTCGCGCTTTTCCTTTTTTTTATCCTTGCCATTGGCTGTCGCTGGTTAACAATCTGTAACAATGTCGCTAGATAACAAAGGAGGTGAGGCAGTTCTTCTGGATAATTATCTTTAATTATAATCAAAATTGAAATAATATTGATTGAATTAATATATATTAATTCAATATATTTACTATTAGAATAAATAAATAGTAATATACATTTAAATATTAAAAAATAATAATTAAATAAATTCAAACATTAAAAAGTAATAATTATAACGTAAAAAAATAACCTTTTCAAAGTTAATTACAGAAAATGGGTGACACCCCACTGTATGTAATAATGAGACAAACATTTATGAAGAAATTGTTGGAAAAAAAATTCTGTAAAATTTTGCACGTATCACTTTTATTTAACTTTTGTTGCAGCCCAGCAGGATCGATTGATCAAGTCATTAATTGTATAATGTAATTTTTGCAATTTAAGCAAAAATTGTAATTTCGGACATATAATATCAATAATTTTATAAATAAATCGGAAATAAATCTTAGAATTATATAAATCAATGTCATTGAAGAAGGGAAGGAAGGTAAAGAAAGATGAAGAGTAGTGTCATGTTTCGATATTATTTATTTTATATATAATATATATATATACTTCAGTCTTATTTATTAATATGTCGTAATCGGGTGTATATCAATTGCCCACACCACCAATTGGCTAATTTAAAATATCTCATTGGTGAAACAATGAAATATTATTAGGAACACAGATCGATGTGAGTGGTGTGCAATTAAACTGCGTGCAAGTGCGTCGCTCCCATTATAATCTCAGTAAACATTTTTAAATTTTTCATTTATACTTAATATTAGGACACAGAACCTAGAAATATGTAACACGAGTGTAATATAAGAAAGCAAAAGCATAAGAAGCTTAATGAGATATCAAAAAAGAAACACTGATTCAAATCAAAGGTGTTCGCATCAGAATGACTATCGCTCGCAGGTCTTCGTAGGTAAGAACTTAAGAAGAAAGCGCTGTACGATTATCTATTAAAAAATTGTTTCTTCTACTGTTTGGAAATTATTCAATCATGTATTTACCATCTTGGCTGCTTTGACGGAAATATCAGAGATTATGCAACTCAATTAGAAAATATTCGTAGACAATTGTTATAACTTGTGGATAAAGGATATTAAAGAGCTTATTTTTGCCTAAACCTTTTTATATAAGTAAGTTTTTCATAAACTTTGACTTCTTATATATAAAATTATTAAAAAGTTTGTAGCGCTTGGGGAACATTTAAAAAATGCACGAACATGTAGTTATTCAATTTTTGATAAATAAACCATGTTCTTGTTCAATTTTCTCAATAGAAGTTTATGTTCACCAAATTCGATCACAAAATTTACAAGCGATTTATGAAAACACAGAAGTTAAATAGCGTACAAAATGTAATTACAAATATTTTTATGAAGAATTAAATTAGAAATCCTAGTTATGAGTTTCTGTTATTATACAAATTGCCTTAATGACTCATTATAATAATTCAAAAACTCCAATAAAATAATTAAAGAATCTGAGAACTTAAAGAATATATGAATATATATTTTAAAAATATTCGAACCAGAAGAAAACCAAACGTATGAATAAATTTGTGGCCCTGAGAAGGGCCGTTGATCTTGAGAGCAACAATTTATTTGGAGCTGGTGTACTTGGTGACAGCCTTGGTGCCTTCACTCACGGCGTGCTTCGCCAATTCTCCGGGCAGCAAAAGCCTGACAGCAGTTTGAATTTCCCGAGAGGTGATAGTTGAACGTTTGTTATAGTGAGCCAAACGCGATGCCTCAGCGGCGATTCGCTCAAAGACATCGTTGACAAAACTATTCATTATGCTCATGGCTTTGCTGGAGATTCCAGTGTCCGGATGAACCTGCTTCAGTACTTTATAGATGTAAATAGCATAGCTCTCCTTCCTCTTCCTTTTCTTCTTCTTATCAGTTTTACTGATGTTCTTCTGAGCCTTTCCAGCTTTCTTCACCGCTTTACCGCTCGCTTTCGGTGGCATGATTCAAGTTTTCGTACAGCGCCGTGTGAGCAATCGCTGAGACGGAACTTCGAAAAGTGACGGTCCGCGGACAGTGTTGTTCTATATATACAGTAAAACGACAGTGGTGGCGCACCAATCGCGTGACGCGACACAACCAGTCGTCACGCGCTCGACACCCGATTGGTCGCGCGTAGCCATCGCAACATGGTATAAATACTCGCCGTGAACCGATCGGAGCAACATTACGAGTGGAAACGTTGTACGCTGTGTAACCTCTCGTTCTTCGCTAACTGCAATCATGTCTGGCCGTGGTAAAGGTGGAAAAGCTAAGGGAAAGACAAAGTCTCGCTCCAATCGTGCTGGACTCCAGTTCCCCGTTGGTCGTATTCACAGACTTCTGCGAAAAGGAAATTATGCTGAGCGCGTCGGTGCCGGTGCTCCGGTCTATCTAGCCGCAGTGATGGAATACCTTGCTGCTGAAGTGTTAGAATTGGCGGGAAACGCCGCTCGCGACAACAAGAAGACTAGAATCATTCCCAGGCATCTACAGCTGGCCATTCGCAATGACGAGGAATTGAACAAGTTGCTCTCTGGCGTTACCATCGCCCAGGGTGGCGTACTGCCGAACATTCAAGCAGTCTTGCTGCCAAAGAAAACGGAGAAGAAAGCTTAACTGCAACAACTACAAACGGCCCTTTTCAGGGCCACTAATTTTTTCATACAAAGAATATCTCATTTGCAATTTTACTATAACCTTTATTATATTTTAATTTTTATACATTTCCAACTAGTCAATATAAATTATGTTAAAAATATTCGTATTTTCTGTTAATATTCATTTAATTTTGACTGATATAAATAAATAAGTTATATGAAAACGCGTAATTCTAAAATGCATAAAGTATAATCATTTCGAAATGAACAACGTACTATTTGCGATCTTGAATTGAGCACCACAATCTAGAATATATAAAGCATGTGAACTACATTGAAATACTGCACAAAAGCCCTTCCATTTTTTATACATTAAATGTAGGTATTTAAATATAAAATAATATTTTACAATATCATTTTTATTGATAATTTTTATTTATATAATTTTATACATATATTTCATTTAACAACTAAATACTTCACGACTTCGTAAATCCTACTTACAATATACATATGTTGCTATACAAACTACATCTTTCTCAATTTTCTTATTAATTTGTTTATATATGATTCTTAAGATTTTAAAATTAAATTTCAAGGTAGAAAGTGTGAAAACATTGTTAATATTAATTATTACAGATATACAAGCAACTCAATCATAATGCAATTTTTTACTTTAAAAAGGACATAATTTCGTAATTTTGATTTGATAGATAATATAAATTGGTCAAAACAAACCCTTACAGCACAAAGTTGCACAAATGTTACAGCAATATTGCAGATATTTTGCAGCGATATTGCTGCAAATTCTGCGCTGTATGGGAAGTAAGGCAAGTTATCAAATATTAATTTACACAGGCAAAGATCGTTTGAAATAATGAGGAAAATCCACGGCGTATGGCGGTTGACCATTTTCGCTGACCCAAGCCGCTCCGTTCTTACCCTTCCGAATGAGATCTAGCATTGCAAGTGCCACATTGTCGGTTGTTTGTATCGGATATTTTTTCGCTTCATCGTTAACATTACCTATCACAGCGAGAACGGAGTCACAGATCTTACTATTGATATCTGTTAGCAACGCTGTTATTGTACCGCCTGGGCACATGATAACAACTCGCACTCCAGTTTTGTCGTACATACTTGCCAAAGACTGACTGAATCCCAAAACAGCAAATTTCGAAGCGCAATACATTGGCATAATAAATAATGGATGTAATGCAGCTATGGATGCAATATTTACTATTATACCACCCTCACCACCTTTATGCTTCCCCATGTAGTCAAATGCCAACATAGAGCCACGAATTAGTGCCTTGACATTGAGATCGATCGTTTCCTCCCAATGCTTATCATTCAATGTACCAGCGTTATTGATAAGAATATCAAGTCCTTTGAATGCATCGACGATTTTCTTGAACGTCTCCTCCAAGTCGTCAGTCTTCGTCACGTCACAAGCAAGAAAGACAGCACAACCCTTTCCAAATTCGTTTTCTAAAGTAGCTACCGCATTCTGACCGTTTGATGTTGGCAGGTCGACCACGGCGACACTTCTTGCACCATTACGTAATAGTATTTCGGCGTACTTGTAGCCTAATCCGCTAGCTGCCCCAGTGATCATCGCAGTTTTATTTTGTACATCGTACATTATGCTGAATTCTTGAAGTCTTCGATGAGATGTTTACTTTAGCGAATTGTAATGAATAGTGTCTGTAAACAGAGCGTTTCTAATTTAATAATTCTTATCGCACCTACTGTCACTGATAATTTAATTTATTAACGAACTTGTTAGCAGGAGATAATAACTTTTATTTCTAAAAATGCTTGTTTCATTTCTCAATAAATTTAAGAAGACAAGTTATAGTTACAATTTTTTTGAAATTCGAATATACATATATACAGGATATTAAACAAAAGCATTCAGCATTTATCTGGCAGATAATACACACCATTCTGAGTAAAAAGACCTTAGTGAACATAAGTCGAAAGCTCAACCATTGCTATGCTAAATGATGCTAATATACAAAAATGTTTATATCTCAGAAACGGCTTTCGATCTGTATTCACTAAGTTTTTTTACTCATTATGGTGTGTATACTATACCATATAGCCGAATAGTTTTTTTTAACACCCTATACAAATTTAATTATAAATGACAATATTAAATACATTATACTAATAACATTTTATTGAGAAAGATACTTTTTATTGTATATGATTTCTTTCTTATTATATCTTATTAGTTTTTATTTTATTAAAAACATACATATTCTAAAGTTTATAATCTTGTGCTAACTATAAATCGATTTTATATGGTAAATCTATTTAATTGAATACACTCCGATTTCTCTTTTAAATTTGCTATAAATGTAAATTTATATCATGCTGATCTCTTAAAGCTTTCAATGAACCGTGAAATACTTTAACGAGATATGAGATTCCATAGCGAATTGCAATGAATATTATTCTTTGTAAATAGAGCATTTTCAGTTTTATATTTCTTCTCATCGCACTTACTTCTGATTACTAATAATTCAGTAAATTTGTTGATTGAAAATAAAACTTCTTATTTGCAAAAATACTTTTTTACTATTTGAAAGATTAACTTGAGAAGGCAAATTAGTAATTAGATTAAGTAATTTAGATTAAAGGACACCATCGAAGATCTTGACTTTGATTTGTTGTCAAGGATAGAACTTTGTCACTTTGCCTTAATAACTAGATGTCGGTCCCTGATAGTTTCTGAGATATTTAGAATTAAAATGTAATTTTAGTAGTAAGTCTTCATCTTAGATGACAAATTCCGATAATCTCGATATACATTACGACATACATATGTATTGATGTATGTAATTGTCAAAGTGTAATGAGATCTTCAAAAGGTTTTAATTTATACGGTCACTGTATTAATAAGCTATATTATTGATATTATAAACATAATATTTTTCAATGTTTTAAAAACTTAGTAATCAATGTACATTTTTAATAAATAATGCAGATAAAAAAATGTTCAAATCCATCGTTGCAAAAAAAAATAAAACAATACTTCCAAAGGAAAAAGAATAAGTTACATTTCTTTCGCACGGTTCCAGCGCTACGGCTACGCTACTATACTACTACGTTGCTGATTGGCTATTGGCATAGGAGAGGGGATATGACGCGCTACATCTCATCTATATAAGCACGGGCGATCCAGCACTGAGCCACACTTTCCGTCGAGTTCTCACGGAGTTTACGTCACGCTTGAGCATAGTTCAAAATGACTGGTCGCGGTAAGGGAGGGAAAGGTTTGGGAAAAGGAGGAGCGAAGCGCCACAGGAAGGTCTTGCGTGATAACATCCAAGGTATCACGAAGCCAGCCATTCGTCGATTGGCTAGACGTGGTGGTGTTAAGCGTATTTCTGGCTTGATCTACGAAGAGACCAGAGGTGTCCTAAAAGTCTTTCTGGAAAACGTTATTCGTGATGCTGTAACTTATACCGAGCACGCCAAGAGGAAGACTGTAACAGCTATGGACGTGGTTTACGCTCTGAAACGTCAAGGAAGAACCCTCTACGGTTTCGGTGGTTAATTCGCTCTACCACTTCTCAAAATCAAATTACAACGGCCCTTTTCAGGGCCAACAATTTTTAATATGTCGGAATTTTCTCTAAAAGCGTTGTGTACTCCATACATACCTTGTAAATAATTCAAGATTATGTATACATACATACTAAATTAAATTTTGGTAAGTGTTCTCCGATTTTTCTGAGAATTTGTGTATTTTCAAACGTGGTGTATATTTTGAAGAAAATAATTGCTGCTCAAGTCCCGTTTTTTTCTAATTTTAAAAGATTTTGGTGTCTACGTATAACTTCGAATCACACTATTCTGTTATGACTTGTATAAAAAAATAATTAAATATTTTATAAATTAAAGCAGAAAAAATTATTAAATTATCATTTTCTATCTTACTGTGTGTGATATCAATACAGTTTGTATTAAAAAAACAACTTAGTGACGGTTATTCTATGCGTTAAAATACACAAATTAAAATTTAAAAAAAATCAGGGAAGAGTGCTATACTAAACATTACGAGAATATTTCAATCCAAATGTTTATTGCTGAGGCGGTTTCAGTACGGTATATTCTCTTCTAGCTACTATTAACTAGCTAATGAATCAAATTGCAGACATGGTAACAATGTTAACCTGCGTTATGCATCTACCTCGCAAAATATTGAGATGTATATAGGCCTGTTCTTTTTAGCTGAACTTTGCACCAGTTCAGTTAAAAAGAACAAGCCTTATTTTGAGTGGATTTTTGTCCATTTGACGCACTTGAAGTTTCATAATCCATATTAATGTATTTTTACATTTAACATTAACGATAAATGTGACAGTCGAATTGCTCGTTCATTGTTGGACGGAGCCTTTTGCATAAGATATAAGAGAATCAACAATCCGGTCGATATTTATAGTCTGGTCTTATTTTAAGACAGTCTTAAGTAATATTTTAAGATGCTCATACACAGTGCCGTATTAAGGCATAGATGAAATGCTTAGGGCAGCAAATTTTAGAAAGATTTTTTTAAATTGAGCATTGAAATGAGTAATTTTAAGTCACTATAGATAAACAAGAGGATTTATAGAATGATACGATCCATAGTAAAGAAATATTAAATTTGCTGCTTTTTGTTCTTCATATCGAATTCAAAGTTATCACGAGCTTAAATTACGATGATATCAATGAATTCTCTACATTAAAATGTAGAAAGACCATTTTAATTATAGTGTAACATATTTAATTTTTGTAGTTTATTTTCATACTTAAATGAAGAATTTTTTAAGACACGATCTCGAGAGAAGACGAGAAAATCAATTTTTAATTTAATCTAATATAACATCTGAAAACAATTTTACTCAGGTAACATCATATTTTGTAAAAAGTCGCTTGAAATATTTCAGCCACTAGGCACAAAACGGATTAATGCGGCCCTGCTAATACTGCTTTGTGATTGGCTTATGACATCTTAAGACTATTTAAGACGGTCTTAAATATAAGAATCGACTATGAATACCAGCCTGAGGGTTCTTCCTTTCCATGAAAGGAAGGACCCTGATTGGTTGATTTTCTTACACGTTTGCAAAAGCCTGTGTTCTCGGCTCTTGCCCTATGATACAGTCAGTATGTAGCTTCCACTGCTGCAGATAAAGAGAAAGCTCTCTGAAGCGAGCGATCGGTTCTGAACACTTGCATATGCGGATACGTGAACGCGATTGGGAGACAAAGAGAGGTTTATAATTCTTGGTCGTTTCATTAATACATCGACTGGCCGCCATTTTTACTCTCAATGATCAGAAAAACAAGGAACGAAAACTTTTCGCGAGAGGAGAAGGAATTCGTCGTTCGATTTGTGAACGAGAATCTGAACATCTTGGAGAATAAGAGCAACACTTCGGAAGTGTACTTGAAAAAGCGCGACAAATGGCGGGAGTTAACCGAGAAACTGAAGACGTTCGGGGTCGTAAGAGACTGGAAGGAAGTGCGACACGCATATCAAAGATGGAAGTGGTTTGCCAAAAAAAACATCACTGCTTTTGAAAAATGGGGCGGCAATGTACCAACGAGTATGGCACCAACGGACTTTGATTTTATGATATACAATGTATGCTCCCAAGATCTTGAGGATGATGAAAGTAATTTTTCGAACGAATCCGAAAATAATGTAAGTGAAATAGGGTCGCGATGACAACTTAGTTTTTTCTTTCTAAAACAAAATTGAAAAAAAGTATATAAAGATGTATTTATAATTTTTCTATAAATTGTACAATGAGGAAAATATTTTTTTGTGATGTATAATTATAAAGAAATCTAAACCTTTAATGTAATTAGTTTCATATAAATAATAATTAAAATATTTATATATAATAAATCACAAAATTATATTTTAAGATATACTTTTTGAACAATAATTTCGAATAAAAGATGTAAATATATGTGTTTCTCCTCACATTTATGTAGTTATAGTTTATTATGTATAAGCATCCTGTATAATAATTGTATTTATAGAGTTTTGCATAGAATTAACATTACAATATAATTTATATCATTTTTAACATTGATCCTGTTTATAAATTGCAATGTATTTAATATAAAATAATTTACAATATAATAAATAGCAAATATGTATAAATCTAATGACACATATATGTATAAACCAAAAATCTATGATAAATAAGAACTATTTACATATGTACAAATGTAGGTATTCATATATTTTATATGTTTAGCATGTTACGAACGAGTATGATGAATTGTCCAATGTATCACATTCTTTTGACACAAACAGGTACATACGTCACATTGTTTTTCTATATCTAAATCTTGCTCATATTATTACACTATATTCAATAGAATAGAATAGAATTTATTTATTTTAGTAACTAAACTAGAATATCAATATAAAAGTCTGTTAATATTTTTGTTTTGTAATGAATTATAAAATTTTTAGAATTTTATTCGACAGAATTCAAAATTAATTTATGTAATTAAAAAATTCGAATAATTCCTTGCAAACAGCAAAATAACAAGACAAAATTATATGAATATATAGTTAATTATATAAATTATTTAATTTCAGTGGCTCTTGTAATGTTTCTCATTCACTTCAATTCACTGAGAAACGTACGGAATATACACATGAAATATTAGATAATTTGAAGGTAATCATTGCAGATTGCGAAGAAACATATGAATGATATTTCATTCTTTTATTTATGTTTTAATTCTTTTATTAGATAAAAATGGAACCACAAACTGATGAAGATTTGCCAAAGATGTGCGAAGAAACAAGGTATTATAAATTTGGAACATATGTGATTCAGTTCTGTAAATTGCATATTTTTCGATCATAATAAATGCATAATTTTTTTATTGTAAAAATCTCAATTTTATCTCATGTTTATTGATTAGTTCAACATCTTTTTAGATGTTTATATATGTATATAGAAACTTCAGATATATGAAAAGTAGCAAATAGAAATGAAACGATAAAATAATAAAATTACGTCTCTTTTCAGAATTGACAACACTCGTGTGCAAAGTACAAGTGTCCCGACAAATTCGACAAACGTTGCGAGTGTATCCGGAACATCTTTCGATGTTGTCGAATTCGTACATGGACCGCGTAAGAAACAGAAAATCTCTTCTAGCAATGATCAAAAAGCTAACAATGAAACATCTAATAACAGTGTTATTGAATTCAAAAAGCGAGAAAACATATTAAAATTGAAAATTCTTCGCGCTCAGCTTAATAGAGAAGAAGAAGAGAGCAAAATCAGGATGGAACAAGAAAAAATCAAGCTAAATATATTAAAGTTACAATTAAAAAGAGAAAGAATACTTCTGAAAAATGTGCAAGTTCTTCCTAACATGAAAGGCGTATAAAAAATAATGTACAAACTTCTTAATATAAAATGATTTGTATCTATATTATATGAAATAAATATGTAAAGTTCTTTATATGAAATGTGTTAACTATGACGTTTATCTATATGAAGTAGTTTTCATAAATATAATTTTACTATACCATACGTTTATGTTCGTTACGTTAATTAAAATATCAAGGATACTTTTATATCAAGGAAAATTTTATATAGGATTAGAAATAAAATAAAAATGTAAATTGCGAGCATTTGAGTTGTTCCTCGTTAAAAATAATTTGGGCCCTGAAAAGGGCCATTTGTGACTGCAGCGAGTGTATCCATCGCAGAACAATTATTTCTTTGCTGCAGCCTTCACAGCTTTCCCTGTGGCTTTCTTCGGTTTGGGTGTTTTGGTCTTTGCTGCAGGTGCTTTCACAGCTTTCTTTGCCTTCGACGGTGACTTGGGCTCCGGGGCAGTCTTGTTCTTCTTTCCGGCAGTCTTCGCGACAGCCTTCTGAGCGGCTGGTTTCTTCGGACTAGTCGCAGCTTTCTTAGCGGTGGTAGCTTTCTTTGCGGCAGCCGGTTTCCGTGTTGCCTTTTCTGTCTGCGCGTCCTTCTTCGTACCTGCTTTCCACACGTCCGAATTACTTAAGGCACGTTGCGCCTTTCCCTTGGACTTGGTGGGCTTAGGCTTGTCCGTCGACAGTTTGAAAGAGCCGGTGGCGCCTTTACCTTTGGTCTGCACGACAGCACCCGCGGTAACAGCGGATTTCAGGTACCGCTTAATAAACGGAGCAACCTTTTCGCCGTCCACCTTGTAGGTTGACACTATGTACTTCTTGATCGCCTGGAAGGACGAGCCTTTGCGATCTTTCAACTCTTTGATAGCTGCTGTCACCATCTCGGAGGTTGGTGGCCGCGACGATCCTTTCTTCTGCTGAGACTTAACCTTACTCTTGCTAGCCTTTTTAGTGACTGCGACATTGCTCTCGGCGGTCTCGGCAGCCGTGTTTCCACTAACTTTGTCCTCCATCTTCAGCAATTACGTTTTACGTCCAAAAACGATCGTCCCACAGAATATCTTAATATCCCACAGATTGCAGAATAGTCAGATTGTTGAATTTTCCACCGGTGACGGCGTGTTGTAGTATTCAGCGCACGGACCACGGAGAGAGGCCTGCTCAATATGTTGACCCGTTAGTTTCGCGGAAAGTGATGGAGCGGTAAACATACTTCGACTTTGCAACGTTATTTCTATAAAATTAAAATCAGTAGGAATATGCGAAACAAATTAACATGTAGCCACGTGTATGCGGTTTCATTTTCATCTTCATTAAATGTTTCCGCGATTATCGGCTCGCGTCCACGACGGAATTTCGACGCTCACGTATTTTCACGCCGATAGCGTAGCCTACGGAAAAACATAAAAATTGAACTTTTCCTTCAACATTTTCGATGTTGCTCCTCTAGAAAAATGTGCCGACGAAACGGGCCCACTATCTCGATTAATCGTTTCCGTCCGATAACGGCTCGTATCCCAAAAATAAGAAGCTTAATTCACGACCTCTCGGGATACGCGCGTGTAAGGTACACGAGGCAAAATGGCCTTGTTACTTCTTGGCTTAATGGTATATAATGCAAATCGATCCAACGATTTATAATTTTTCTCATCGTCCGTTCTGAAATTTATAATAAACTCTATAAATTACTCATAAAAATTAATCCTAAAATACTTATCTACGGAGTTGACGAGCGAATACCGCGTAGTTTATACCACAGCCACGTAATGCATTCTATCCGAGAACATGAGAAAAATCGATTCAATAATGTATCCCTGTTCATCGTTTTTTTTCAATAACAATGTTTATTAACAAAGTAGAAATTCAATTTACATACTTTTAAAATAACGATAATTCTAAATTCCTGAATAACTTCTCGCCTTTTTAAAATCAGTTATAGTCATATATGACAAAGCTTCATTCATTCATTTAATATTAGTACAAGTTAGTGATGTTAATAACGATAGTAATCAAGTTATTAAGAATATTGAAATTTTATTATTACTGGACAATTTCACCAAATATGCTTGTTCATAATACTCAGTAATGCAAAAAGATTAATATCACATGTGAGATGCATCTTGTACCGATAGGGCGATACAGTAATATATAATGATAATTTGTTTCTTAACTATTTATAACTGTGAGATATTTTGCAAATGAAATAATGAATAGATTATCGCAAGTCCAATTTACATATTTTTTTATGTTAATAAAAAGTTCACACATAAAAATGTAATTAATTCATCATTGTATTCGTATGCATTCAATAATGCTTTATTAATTTCAAATGTTAGAACATTCAGAATATTATTTTTCTAGAATGTCTGTTAGAATTTTGTTGTTTTACAATTTTGATAAACTAATATTGATATACGCTTGTATTTTATATTAAAGTATATAAATGTGTTAAAGTATATAAAGTATATAAATGTGATAATAATATAGATAAATCTCATATATAAATATTGGTATAATCATATGTATGGGATATTTCCTATACAGCACCGATTATTGCGGAAAGTTTTCAGAAATGTTCCAAAATTTCACGTCTCATGTGTAATAATTCTGAAAGGATTCTGCAATATGTTATATGAAATGTTTTAACAAAAATGTTTCTAAGATCTATTATATGCAATAAATTGAAAAACATATTTCAATTTAGTGTCTATAAGTGTCGTACCACTAGAGATAGCAACATGAACAGTGAAAATATAATAATTCTCACAGATTTAAAAATATTCTCTGATAAAAGGTAGAAGACCTCAGCTAATCCGTCCAGAAATACAATTTGTTCTGTTATAACGGTATATAGATTAAGTTCCTATAAGGTACAATTTATTAAACTTTGAATATATCTTCGAAAAAAAAAATCGCTCTAAATGGTTCAAAATGGATTTTGAAGGGGCCGTATAAATGTAGTAATAAATAATACCGTTGATGGATTTGACGGATGAAAAATTTTCTTAATTTTTAATTTAATTTTAAATATGGTTGAAAACGGCTTTTTTGGCAGTTTTAGGTTAGGATATCTCGAAATCTTGACGTGATAGAGCAATTCTGTAGACGGATTCGGATTTAGCGCAAAAAATTGTGTAAGAAAACATTGTTAAATCCCAATCAACTTTCAACACCTCCAATTTTGCAAGCCTGTGTTATGTATCAGTTTTTTATTTTCTAGAGTGAATTCGTAATGTATATATATAAATATATTATGTACTGCTAAGCTATTTTGATGTTATAGTGTGCCTTCCAACAAAAGCGACACAAATAATACAGTGTGACACAATGGATCATTACATCGTTGTTGTTTGCCAATGTTAAACAAAGATGATATGATCACTGTGTCGCACTGTGTCGCTTATTGGAAGGCACACATAACGACTTTTTGTTCTACTTGGACATATTTTTGGATCTTCTCAAGATGTTCACAAAGTAACGCATTTTAATTAATTAACTGCTATTTTTAATATTTTGTATTTTATTATCTTTTGAATTTATTATTTTATATATAACTATATGCTCTAAATTTAATTATTCGCATTTGTACAAAATTTTATTTTTTTATGTAGTTACACATATGTACACACAACATTAAAAATTATTTGAACAATTCAACAAAAAATATTTAAAACATATTTATTTGTTACACTGTTACATGTTTATTTCTAATTTAGATAACATATAAAAGTATAAAAATATGTTTTTAATTAATACATACACATGCTGTATTATATAAAAAAATTCTCAAAGAACATGGAACACGTAATGTATTCAATAAATATTAATAAATAAAAATCAAAGGATATATAAATAATCTAAATAAGTGATGAAGAAAGCGATATTTGAGCAAAGTAGATCTTGATACCTAATAATATTTTTGTATAAATTTTTACAATTTCCATTCGTAAACTACGTGCCGATTATCGGCCTCGAAATAAGTACATAAATTATTTAAAAAATAATCATAATTTTTATTGGAATAATTGTATTTTTTTATGATCTTTTATGAATATTCCTTGCGAATACATTTTGCAATCGTCGATAACTGCATATTACTTGTACCCTCGTAAATGGTACCAATTTTTACATCTCTATAAAATTTTTCTTGAGGAAAATTGGTCGTAAAGCCGACACCTCCCATAAAGTCTATGCATTTTCCGGTGATACGACACGCGGTTTCGGATGCGAAAAGTTTCGCCATGGCCGCTTCCTTCATGACGTCCTTTTTAGTTTCCATCAATCTCGCCGCGTTGTAAACGAGCAATCTGGCGCATTCCAATTCCGTTACCGCCTGGGCTATTTGATGCTGCAGGCTTTGGAAGGAGAAAATTTCCTGTCCAAATTGTTTCCTTTCCAATGTGTATGGTATGGTTGCGTCTAAACATCCCTGCGCTATGCCAATCATCTGCGCGCCGATACCGATTCTACTTTCGTTCAGAAATCCAGCCGCGTACTTATATCCATGTCCGAACTTTCCCAACAGATTGTCTTTGGGTATCCTAACGTTGTCGAAGTATACCATGCAAGTGCCCGATGCTTTAAGACCCAACTTGTCTTCGCGTTTGCCCACCGTCAAACCTGGTGTATCACGTTCCACGAGGAAGGCTGTGATGCCTCGATAACCGGCGGCAGGATCCGCGTTGGCGAAAAGCACGAAAATCTTCGCTACATCGGAATTCGATATCCACATTTTCGTACCGTTGATCACGTATTCGTCTCCATCTTTCTTTGCTTCAGTTTTCAAGGAGAAAGCGTCCGATCCCGAACCAGGTTCTGATAGACAGAAACTACCTACGGAATCCCGTGCCAGTCTAGGTAGATACTTCTGCTTCTGTTCTTCGGATCCAACTTTAAGAATAAATGAATTTATCAAAGTGTTATGAATATGAACACATCCGGATACCGCCGCGTCGACTTTGGAGAGTTCCTCAATGATTAAAATCGTGCTCATAAAGTTGCTTCCCGTTCCACCGTATTCTATCGGTGTTTGGATACCCATCAGACCGTTCTTGAACAGCTTTTGTAACACGCCGTCGTCTATCATTCCTTCCCTTTCCATCTTCCGTACGAGCGGAGCGATCTCTTGCTTGGTTAGTTTAGCGACCATTTCCTTCGTCATAAGTTCATCGTCTGTAAACTGTGTCAGTGGACCTGTGCAGTGCTGAAGACGCGATGAATATAAATGTAATTGGGACGTTGTAGGCAGTTTCTGTTGTGTGCGGCGTAGAGCAGAACGGAGTGTAGTTGTATACATAATTAGCACACGACTTTTTTTTTAAAGAAAAACCGAAAAAAATTGATACACGAATATTCGTGAAGCGCGATAGTGCAGATGTCACTCAATACCTATACACGCGACTCGTTCTCGTTGAAGACTGATGTTGAAACTCTTTTACAAGTTTATATGTATGACGTGGTAATCAGTAAAAACGTAATACGCAGACCAAGAGACATATATTATAGATAGAAATTATCATAAAGTGTAATAAAGTAGTTTGCGGAGCAAAGGTTCTTTTTATAAAATGTTTGTATTAAATTAATAGAGGATTTGTATTTATTCATAAATATTTACGAAAACGATTACAAAATTCAGGAATTCAGTCGGTTTGTTTCATCATACGCACGTTATTAAAGATTCGTAGGTTGGTATTTATAGTCGGTTTTTATTTCGTCTCTATAACTGATTTAAGATTGTACTTAAGGCAGTTTTAAATACAAGATCTGACTACTACGTGATACGTGAATACTAGGCTTACAAGTATAAAAGGCCACTTTTTCTTCCTATTTGTCATCTATCACTTATTACGTAAGTGCCATAGGCGTAAGCAAACAAATATCTAAAGAAAAATTTATCTATTTTTTTTAGAACATATTGAAAATATAAAGCTAATCTGAAGAATGTAATAAAAATATTTTCACAATATATATATATATATGTATTCTTGTTTGTTTGAAATCTGTCCATACATTTCTTAGATGATAATCGCATACATTTATTGACACTAATTATGTAATACATACTTTAATAATATTATAATTTCAAAACTGTGTAAAACTTGTATGTATAATAATCAACGCATGTATATTGCAATAAAGCAGACAAGGACTGATGTATGTTGGCGATAGCACCTATCAGTAATGGCACTTCCAATATATCATGTTGGAAGCTGTTTGTGTAACAAATTATCATCAAAAGAAAGTACAACTTTTAAAGAGTTTCCGTTCAAAAATTGTTTTATTTTTACATTTTCTGATGTATTTCTTTTATAGAATTCAAAAATTATTATGACGCTGAGTACACTTCAAAAAAATTGATACATTGATCTAAAGTTAATAAAATCCTGATTCATATTGTTACGAAATTACTGTGAATTATGCTTTAATAATTCAAAAACTGATTAAAAGTTGGATCTAATACCAAATGACACTATATGAAAGTAATGTTGCATTGCAAAACGTTAAACGCTAAAAAATATATTTTTCGATATAACATTTGTTACCAAAAAAGATTTAATAATTTTATGAGAAATCATGTTAATACATTATTATTGCTCAATTATTGCTTTTGAACTTAACAAAAAATAGAGAACACTTTCAAAACACTCAAAATTGCACAATTGTCAGATCACTAAAAAATATATTTCGATGAAAAATTATAGCAGACAAAAAAATAAATAATGCTTTAAAATTTGAAACTTATTTTAACATGGTTTCGATCGGTTTAAAAAAAAATTTATCTTTACAGTTCCATATCTTTACAAAGATTACCTTGTTATATTTCTAAGATTACATATACATTCAATCGTCTGCAGTTCGATAAAAAATTTTTTATTGAAATGCAGGCTGTTGAATATACGTAATTTTAAAGAACGTAACAAGATGATCTTTGTTAAATTATAGAAGTATAAAGATAAAATTTTTAGAAAAAATTTAGAAACATCTTCAAAAACGAATAATGCAAAAAAGTCATGATTCAGAGGACATTTTTTGCATTATTATTATTATCCTAACAAATTTTAACACTAACTACTACTTTTATTGTGAAATTCGTTCGTATACAAAACTTATGACTTAAATAATATAAAGATGTTACTATTGAAATTATCATGAAAATGACAATATTACCTTCAATCACATAAGCTTTAGCAAACAATTTCTCTTTACAATGATGTGTATACAACTGCATTACTCAAACACGACTGCTTTTTATTTAAAAGCATAAGCATGACCTTTAAATGTAAATTATGCGCTGTTTAAAAATATAAACGTTATCTCTGATCGGAGTAGCTGTATGGACGAAAAAACTCCATCTTATCCTATATATTGATAACTAGGAGCAAATAAAAAATTAGTGTCTATTGAAAAATACAATTCTTTATAATTAAATAATAAAATAAATGAGATGTCCGTTTCATTTTGATTTGGACTTGGGATTGACATTGACATTGTTCTATTTACACATTTATATATGTATACGTATTTACGAATATACATGAGCAGTAATTTATCGCAATTGTAATAACATTTTACTGCGAGAATAATTTCTTATTGCTTTTGCATCAGTTTTGCATTGATAGTAATGAACAATGATATTTAATTATATTCATCTAATTTGAATAGAATAAAACATTGCTTATTCTCAAGTTCACCTGCACAGCATTTTAGATTTCAAATACGTCGCAAATACATGAAATTTGAAATGTTGCTATATAGCAGATACATAGGTTACAGTCCACTTGACGTTACAAAACGCTTCGAAGCGTTTAAGCGACCAATCAGAATAAAGAATTTTACGAATTGACTAATCAAAAAATGTTTCGAAGCGTTTGTAGCGTCAAGTGGACCGCAGCCATAGTAATACATATGAATCAGATACATTTAATATCGATAAATGTCACTCTCATTAACCTGGACCCCTCACCATCGAAATTCAAATTTGCAATAGGTCAAAAATTTAGTGCTCTTTATTTGCTAATTATTTGCTTAAAAAAATTTTTTTTGCTCCAGCGGTTTACGAGGAAAAAAAAATGGGGGGGAGTCCAAGTTAAGATAAAGCTGATCCCCCCATACTGAAAAAAATAGATCCAGTGGTGCTACAAAAAAAATTAAGCACACACAGATTTTTTGCTCTTTATTTGCTATAGATAGCGTAAAAAAAATTCGAAAATTTAATATTTTTAAAAAAATATCAATACCAACGGTGCGGTCCGCGTCGCGCTACTTCAAGTCCCTTTTCTACCTCCACAGAATTATTTGCTCGAATGTATTTGGTATCAAAATAATCGTTGGGTACGTACTATCAAAATATGACAAAATCCGATTTTTTTGCTAATTGCAACGCGTGAGAAATCAAAGAGACGTGAACGTCTCCTCCCAGCAAATCAGCGCGCTGCGTATCAATACTATCTTATATCGCTCGTGAAATGTCGTAATAATTATTTGTTCGCATAATTTTGGTGCCACAATAATCCTGACACAATGTACTATCGAAACATACCAAAATTCGATTTATTTGATAATTCTAAAGTGTTAAAAATGACGAGTTAATCGAGAACACTCCGCGGCGTACTTTCAGTTGTGTTTCTATCGTCCAGGAATTATTTGCTCCTATGTTTTTGGTAGCAAAATAATTCTGAGACTGTGTACTATCAAAACATATCAAAATTCGATTTATTTGCTAATTCTAAAGTGTAAAAAATAATGAGTTAATCGAGAACGCTTCGCGGAGGAACTTTAAAGTTCGCCGCGAAGCGTTCTCGATTAACTCATTATTTTTAATACTTTAGAATTAGCAAATAAATCGAATTTTGGTATGTTTCGATAGTGCATTGTGTCAAAATTACTGTAGCATCAAAATCCCCATTAACTTGGACTCCCCACCATCGAAAATTATATTCATGATAGGTCAAAAATTTAGTACACTTTATTTGCTAATTATTTGCTCAAAAACGAATTTTTTTTGCTCTAGCCGTTTAGCAGGAAAAAAAATTAATGGGGATCCAGGTTAACGGGGGTAAATTATTTCCTGCTAAACAGTTGGAGCAAAAAAATTCGTTCTTGAGCAAAAAAAATTAATAAATGAAGGGCACTAAATTTTTGACCTGTAATACATACCGCGAATATAATTTTCGATGGTAGCTGGTTAATGGGGGTGGTTTTTTATGATAAAAAATTGTTTTTTAAATCAAAATCTTAAAAAAATAGAATTATTTTTCTTGATGTTTATTGTTAAAACGTTTATGTCTAAATTATTTTGATATTATTTAATATCTTTTGTCCTTAATAAAGATATTTAAAGATCAAAAAAATGTCTGCGTTGTTACACGATGAGTTTAGTTACTTTCTATTTACACCGATTCTCAGATAATTCTCACTTGTGACGTCGGACAAGTGAGTTTTTACCTACAATCTGCACAAGATCGAGACCATGTGCTTTAACGAGTTTCGTAAACTCACTTCAAAAGTGAGGTTATGAATAATATGAACCTGTGTTGTCATGTGATAACTTTTTATCAAAGTAACCAAATAATTCGTCATTAATCTGAGCATGAAATACTGAGCTCACTTCAGGCTCAGTTTCACTTGTGTGCAAATGGAAAGCAACTTTTATAACTTTAAAACTGATTCAAAGTATATCATGACTATCGCCTGATAATCATTATACTAGATATATTTTGATTGTTTAGTTCTCTTTACATAAAAATCTTTTTGATGAATGTTAAAACTGAATTTTAGAATGTTGCATCAAATATTAAAGGAAAATACATAATCGAGTAAAAAAACTTTCAAGGCCGGATAAATTATTGATTGTTTATTCAAAAAGATTCTTGTCTTTGTTCGATAAATTTTATTTCTAATTTCAATGCTTCTCATATGCTTTAAACATTTTTATTTAAGTTTTTGCAAAGTTTTAGTTATTATTCATATCACTCGAATATTTCGAGGCGTTAGACTGAACATTTTAGCTACTTATATTCTTTACTTATATTAAATGCACTGGAATACCGCCAACAAAATTAGAATTTGCAGTCCCAGTACTAAGCGTTGGCATTGTTGGAAGCGCTAGCTGTACAGCCAGTTCTGCGTGCATCCCCACCACTATCGCGCCAGCCAATCAGCGCCTTGCGTGCGGGGCCAGTAACTCCATATAAGCGCAGCGTTTTTCGGCAAACGCCCAAACCGTTATAGTTCGTCTTGTTGTACGGACGTCACGAATCACAGTCGATTTCTCAAGATGGCAAGAACCAAGCAGACCGCTCGCAAATCTACTGGAGGTAAAGCTCCACGTAAGCAGTTGGCGACGAAAGCGGCGCGTAAGAGTGCTCCCGCAACTGGTGGTGTTAAGAAGCCTCATCGTTATCGTCCTGGAACCGTCGCTCTTCGTGAGATTCGTCGTTACCAAAAGAGCACAGAGCTTCTGATCCGCAAGCTCCCGTTCCAGCGGCTGGTCCGTGAAATCGCTCAGGACTTCAAGACCGATCTCCGCTTCCAGAGCTCGGCCGTTATGGCCCTTCAGGAAGCGAGCGAAGCCTACCTCGTCGGCCTGTTCGAAGACACCAACCTTTGCGCTATTCACGCTAAGAGAGTTACCATCATGCCCAAAGATATCCAATTGGCCCGCAGAATCCGTGGAGAGCGTGCTTAAATTGCCTTTTTTCCATCAATCGGCCCTTTTCAGGGCCAAAAATTATCTTACGTTGAAATGTCTTGCGTTTTCAATTTCATATTTTTAATTTATAACCTTACAAGAGCAATATTCTTATTCTTTCCTTTTAGGTTAGGAAACTTGCACGGAACGAGTGATCGTTCTTTAATTTTTATTCATTAAATGATAAAAATAAAACGTTTGGTCGATTGATCTCGGAAGAAAAGTTGTCTCGAATGCATTTTATTCATTAGTTTTTGTCAGCAAGAATGACGCCTATAGAATCGTGGCAGTTTACACAAAAACTTGCAGTAAAAGGTAAACAGTGTATATATGTATATATATATATATATATATACACGGAATAAACAAAAAGGATCAACATTGGATTTACTACTGCTTACAATCTTACATTTCACTGATAGTTTTTTGTGTACTGTTGTCATGGTTTTTTGGCGCGTTTTTGCGACTTGGGCGTCATAAATGGCGTCTCTAGACGCAACACGTCCCGCCAAAAGATGCTACAATATCTCGTCACAAGATGGCGCAAACGAACGTCTCAAAATAAACGGTTTCGATGATGTTTGTCAAATGAAGTTGAAATTTCAATAAGAAATCCAAATATATAGTATGTGAAATCGTCCTTATTTTGGAAGAAATATTTACATTCTTGCTTACTCTTGTAACTTTATACTTGTAACTTTATACTTGGAACTATTTTGATTACAAATGAAATAAGTTGCCTTAACTATAAGAGATAGATTTCGATTATTAATAGCGAACGCGATTAGCAATTAATGACGGATTAAATCGCACGCGACAGTGCATGCTCGTCATCGTAATATATTTCCGTTTATTTTTAGCGGTTTAACGAAAATACCGAGTCTTCGAAAGAACGATATGAATTCTCGCGTCGCCGACATCGTATCAGTATATCTCTTATTCGTATCGCTTGTTTAAACCAAGTGGACTTGAAACTTTCTTCTGTTATTGCGTAACGAGTAACTGCGACATCGCGAAGGGATCGCGCGCCAAAGAAAGTTTTCACCGGACGATGTTGGGAAGCGTCAATTTCTCCTTGGAATAGTTGGAACGAACGGTCTGTTTGGGTGGGGAAAATCGATAGGAAAAGGCGAGTTCAAAGTGCCGGGGGAGAGTAAGAGTACACACACGGCGTATCATTAACCGCTATCATTAACTCTTTATCTGCGTGCAGGACAAACCGACAATTATCTCTCGGCGGATATCGCCGGAGGCGACAACGCTACGCAACGACGACGACGAAGACGATGTCGAAATGGAGATACTCCCGGGAGGATATCGTCGCGTCTCGATGAGGTGTCGATGAGGGCCGCGAGTGGCATGGGGAAGCATCTGCGTCGCACGTCGTGCAACAGCTGTGTGCGATATCGCTCGGGAAGATGTTGAGGGTGCCCGACGGCTCCTGACAACTCGCGACACGAGGCGCGACGCGGTTAGGCGAGGCGAGGCGCGATCGCGAACGACGGGATCAGCGGAGGCTGGGTCCACCCTGGAAAATGACTGCCGGTCGACGGCTGGTGCGCGTTCTCTGCGTGCTGCTCTGCCTGTCGTTGCGGCCGGACTACGCGTATTCCACTCACATCACCGGCACGTTCAACACGCGAGAGTTTTTTCGGTTCCTCATCAAGTTCGGCTTTCAGAAGACCGATCGTCATCGGCAAAAGGACTCGTATGGCTATATATTCGGCAATGTGACCGCAAGAACGGACTTCGACGTGCCGATCACCCTGGCGATACTCGACCGTGGCCACTTCCTCGAGTATTACGGCAATCGCACGCTGACGGATAAGAACACAGCGTGCGCCTATATGTTTAATACGTTAAAGAAGAGTTCCTACGATCCAGACTGCAACGAGGAGGGTCAAGATTTCCTGAGGTATATTTTGACGTTTCAATCTATTACATGATTGATGCTTTCCAGCAAGAGACAGAGATGACAGACTGTTTTTCGTAAGGTGTTGAGAGCTTTATGAGCATCATTTATCCTTATTTGACATTTGATAAACAATAAGGATGAAATGATTCCAAGAGTATTATGAGTATCGTATTGAACACAATAATACAGTGAATCGTTACATCTTTGTTTGTCACTGTTAAAGATGATCACTGTTATACCGTATCTCTTACTGGAAATCAGTTATCTGTATTTCTTGTGCTGGAAAGCATCCTATATCATATAAATAACTAATGTCAACTTTGCATTTTGAAGACGAGTCCCATGCCCTCGAGACAAATTATGCCCAGACGAGGATTCTGTATGGAATATTGTGAAGGGACATCAGTTTACATACGTTATACAGGACTTCTGGCAACCACGATTTTGGTATATGAGTTTGGTGGCGTGTTATAGGAACAAAACAACTTGCCAATGGGAATATTATAGCGGGCACGACGAATTGAAATATGACATCTGGCTAGTAAATGGCAATCCGAACGTCAGTGGCCTAAACAGTCTGACTTATCAGTTCTCATACGACAGACAGAATACCATCGAACTATACTTGCTGTTTTTTGTGTGTTACATCATATTGGTGCCACTGCAGTTGTATGCAGTAAGATTGCAAAAGCATCCTGTAACGAGATTGTTCACTGCAAGTTTATTATTAGAATTCGTGGCAGTATGTTTAATCTTGATACACGTGTTGAAATTTGCACTAGACGGAGTTGGCTATGAGCAATTAGAAGTTGCAGGTGATATTTTTGATATTCTCTCACGGGTAAGAAAAACATCTCATGAATATCAAATATTATTAAACTCGTATTAAATTCAAGTAATTTAACATATTCTGTATAATTTGTAGCCATATTTTTTAATCTTTTTAAATTTATTAAAAAATGTATATTTATTTTTTTTAGTATATTTATTTTTCATATTTTTAATGTGTATATATATATATATATATATATATACATACACAAGGATTAGCACCATCAAGTATATTAACGTACTTTTGATAGATTAAAAAATTCTTATACGAAAATGTTGAAGCAATAGTTTTTTAATCATAACCCATCAAAGATAATCCATAAACCACACAGTATTCATACTTGATATTTATATTTACGACTGTCTCAAGTATAGTTTTAAGATGTCATAAACTAATCATAGGCCGGTATTCATATGCATAATCGGTTCTTATTTCAAGATCATCTTAAGTAATGTTTTGAGATGTTAATATGACTGTGATTGGCTTATGACATCTTAAGACGATCTTAAAAACAAGTATCGACTGTGACTACTTTTTGATGTTATTTTCACGAAATTTTAATGTGAAATTATTTTTATTTCTAGACGTCCTTTATGTTATTATTGCTCTTACTTGCCAAAGGATGGGCGGTGACAAGAATGGAATTAACATGGAAGCCACTGGTGTTTGCAATATGGTTTTGTTATGGGGTTGTGCACATTTTATTATATGTATGGAACATGGTAACTATTTTCTCTATTCTTTATATATCTTTTTTTATAAATTGCAGTAAGTGTAAACTCTTTTTATGAATTTATTTTTTCAGACAGAAGTTGATATTATTGAAGACATAGATGAATATCAAACTTGGCCAGGATGGTTTATATTGTTATTCCGAAGTGCCATAATGGTATGGTTTCTATATGAACTTCGAAACACCATGACATACGAGCATAATACTCAAAAATTAAACTTTCTCCTTCATTTTGGTGCATCGTCATTAGTTTGGTTTATATATTTACCCATTATAGCACTTATAGCGCTTCAAATAAGCGCACTATGGAGGTTTAAGCTGTTGTTAGGTGAGTAAAGTTTGTAAAATGTTAAAATTAATTTTCTTCGGCTGTATTTCGTATTTAACGCATTGTCGATTTATAGGTATAACATATTCGGCAGACTGTTTTGCTTATTGTGTAATGGCTCATTTATTATGGCCCACCAGAAGTGAACAATATTTTTTACTCGCGCAAGGCGCGGATAATGGTGATGAACTCGATGAATTCAACGAAGCGCCGCATGTATTAAATAATTATGTAGAACCACCGGAACTCGGTAAAATAATTACTTAATATTCGTCCATTGCAAGTATAAATATTAAATTGATGACATTTTTAATTACAAGTGATGTGATGTACATTTGCCAAACGTCAATCTAATAGTACTCTAATATGTGCTACAGAACTGAAATATTGTGCACATCCTATAATTAGGAATATATCAATTGTCAAATTTGGCCATGTGATATGAAATTAATAGATGATACAACAAAAAGTAAATGAGTATGATATGAGTATATGCTATGAACAAACATAATTTTCTATTTAATATATAAATTAATAATCAACAGTATTAATTATATCAGCAATTTTATATGTACAAGTCACACACAACACACATAATTATTAAGTATTTTTATCCATTTGAAGAATAGTATAGATATTTATAACTGGTATATATTTTTACATGTTACTAATATTCAGACACAATTACATATGATTATATGCGCTAGTATATAAACATAAAAATAATTATATATATAAATAATACATAATTTCTAATATTTATTTTTAAACTATATTTTACTTACTCATATCATATTCATATATCTTGAATTTATAGTGTTAATTTTTGTTTATTTTAATCATTTTGATTTTATAAAAAATCAATATGTATGTTTAAAAATTTTTTAACAAAGTATACATTTTTTATTGTTTAATTTCATTACATCTTGTAATTATTCTATGTCTACTCTATACTAAGAATATTACAATGTGCACTTGAATAAGAATGGTAGAAATGAAATACTTATATAACTTTCGTAACACACAATTTGATTCTAGTTGAATGGTTTAAAAATTGCGTATGTGATAATTGTATATAAATGTATTTAACTAAATTCTTTTATCACTCCTTTTATTAGGATGAAGCAATAGCTTTTGAACAATTAGTGATTAGGAAAAAAAAACAGAATTAAAACTTTCAGTTAATTTTAATCGAATTTTAATAAAAAATTTGAGTTTGTTAAAAAAATATTAGACATTGTTAGCAATTAAAAAGATCCATTAATTAATGAGCTGCTATAATAGCTAAGGAAAAATTATTTACAAATTGGATAAAGAAACCATGATATGGTATGTTTTGTATGAGAACATTTTTACATCTTGTTCTAAATTTTATAAAAAGATTTGATCTTTTAAAGTATGTAATTTAAACTGTCATCATTAATTCAGTTTTGTTATTAAATAGGCAATGTATATACAAATAATGATCACATACACAAACATGGAAAATAAAAGAGCACCAATATAACATTCTTCCGATTTTATTCAAGTAAGTTTACATGTTAATTGCACATTGTTGAATAAGTACTTTATACAGAAAATTGAAATATGATCTGATATGCGAGTTTACACTGTAAGCACGCGTTTTCTTGTCGTACTATTATTGCTCAATCTTGTAAGAACTTAGATAATATGATTGTGTATGTATAATCTCTTGAGAATATTTTAATGATCCATATATGTATACTTTATGGGATCGGTAAAATCTTTATGATATATTTATATTTTTAATATCCACTACAATGAAAGCAATTTAATATAATCTACTTTTTATTTCTTGATAGTATTATCTATGTTCAAATTATGTATGTTAAGTTTACTCTTTTGAAGAGCACATTTAGATATGTTATACAAATTATGCTTCTATGAATGCCAGTGTGTCTAATATGTATATATATGTATATACAATTTATTTCCAAAAGTATGTGTCTTCAAATATGTTTTGAGATGCTTTTTATAGATATACGGAGGAGGTAGTATTATAGCAAAATATTTTAGTATAATGAAATTGTTATATCATGTCTCATTACAGCCCAACAAGCAGGAAAGATACTTTATTTAATTAATCTTTTTGCCAGACTAGGTAATGTATTGTACAACTTGATAATAATAATTGTTTTATATACCTGATTTGGATTTCTTTGTATATTTGCAATTGATATGGACCTCTTCAATAACGAAAGCAACATTTAATCAAGAAATATAATTTATATTACACAGTTAGAAATTAATGTATTTCTTTATTATATATATGTACATGGTTCTTTTTTCTTTACATATATACAGGGTGTTTCCAAATTAAATGGCAAAACTTCGGGAGCGTGTAGAGGAGTAAAAAACTAAGAAAAAAAGTCCTATAGACATATGCTCGTTTTTGCTCCGTTTCAGAGAAATCGAAAAAAAATGTTTACATTTCTTGCCATATCTAGCACCGACATATTTGATTACATTTTCCACTTTCTGTTATGAATTTGTCAGTCGCTCTTTGAAAGCCTTTAACAGTAGATGAATTTTGTCTTTTGCAATATGCCGCGTACGTATTCTAATAGTGAATATGCTGATATGGTTTTTGTATACGGTTTCTGCAACGGTAATGCTTTAAAGGCGGTGCGAGAATATGCACGACGATTTCCAAACAGAAGAGTGCCAAACCGAAGAGTGTTTATGTTGACATTTAATAGATTGCGAGAGACTGGAACATTTTCAATTCGACAAGAAAACAA